TTGCAGGTCTATACTTATGGAAGAGAAATTTCATTAATCTGCCTACAGTCGTAGCAATTGTTATTAATTTATCTTAAAGTTGCCAGTGAGCAATACCAAGCTCCCTTCCTTCCAATCATCCCGTCCTCTGGGCTTCACGACATCCCTCCCTGCAGTCCAGCTTTTTTCCATTCTCTTAAGGTGCCCAAATCTCCAAATCAGCCTGAATCACTTTGGATCCTTTCTTTTTTTTGCCCTGGAACCAGATCTGATCATTTTGCTTTGCTCCGGGTCTCCAACAGATCAGCCGGAACCAAGCCAATTTTGGTAATAATTTGAACTTCGACTGAATCTGGCACACCACCCTATTTCAAAGGTAAGGAGTTATTTATTTACCAGATGAGCAAACCAAATGTTTGCACCCGTTCCTGGCGACCTGAAATGAACAGAAGAGAAGAAATGGTTACTTTCTCTAAGATTTTCCCATTGCCTTGTTTCTTTACTAGACTTTGTGATAATAACATTAAAATAAAATAATACAAAACTTAATTATGAGTTACAGCACACTGCTGACCAAACTGGAGATAATCTCAAGGTTGACCTTTGGGCCTAATCACATGGGCCATTTGAAATGTTTCAATTTCCTACTTCATTTATACCAATATATATTAATGCATAATCACGTGGTATATAAATCACTGGGTGCATTCACATGGCTGTCTTCTCTTTCAATATGTTTCTTCAACTTTGCAGGCAAATGAAATCAACTGACTTTCTGTTCTGTTTCAGGAGCACACTGCTCTAAAATTGCTTTCTTTTGTTGTTAAAAATACCTAAATGATATATCACAAAAGCAGCATCAAAGTTAAGGTGAAAAGCTTTGGAAGGCAATGTTGGAAAATGTTTGATAACAGAAGATTTCCATTGGCAGTTCTTCAGTTTTAGGGCACTTTGTTTCTCAAAGGACACTAGTTAGGGCAGTATTGGCAAAACTTTTTGAGCCCGAGTGCCCAAACTACAACACAAAGCCAACTTATTTATTTCAGAGTGCCAACACTGCAATTAAACTTGAATACTGAGGTTTTAGTTTAGACAGAACAACTGTTCCTGCACTGCAAGGGTTAAATGCTTCTTCTTTTTTCTAGGGGCAGTATTAACAGAGGAATACTTACAGGCATCTAGACTGGTAATTGCAGCCCTCCGCTGGACCACTGCACCAACAGAGGGGAGTGCCAAAATTGGAGAACGGGTAAGTATTTTTTGATGGCAACTTATAGCTCATGTGCCCATGGAGAGGGCTCTTGGTGCCAGCTGCGGCATGCATGACATAGGTTCGCCATCACTGAGTTAAGGTGTTTTTCCACATTGACAAGGGAAGGGCAAACGGGGATGAATGTAGCAAGGTAGTGATATAGCGTTAAACTCTTGGAGTAGAGAATACTGATACATCACTTAGCATTTAAAAAATAAATAAAAGGGGGAACAAGCGCGGTAGCCATGCAGTGCCCATAGCACAAAAAACACAACTGGGTGCAAAGTAAATTGACAGCAACTTTCACACACACCAAACTGGTGTGGATCAAAGCAATTCAGGGATCGGATCATTTTTTAAAAAGCCCATGCCAACAAGATTGGGGGGGGGAATCAATCTGTGGGCCAAAAGAATCAATTTTACCAATGCGTCATATGAACGGAACTTTATAAAATGATTTAAATAACGGCAGAAAAAATATAACTGCGGTTCTTGTGGTCCATGTAATTGATTCCACAGTAGGGGTGGGCAACTCTGAGAAGCTGAGGGGCACATTGGCAGCCCACGCAACCTTTGGCAGGAAGAGTCTGCCAGGAAATTCAGTAGCAACAGCAGTGGTTCTAGAGTTCTAGGTTATTGTCATTTAGGGTTCTAGAGTATTCAAGAGAATCCTCTTGTACTATAGTGCCCTTTTGAGACCGCAGAACATCTTTTCCATTTTCCATCCCAGAAGGAAGGGACAAGAGGGAGAAGATCATCACAATTTCAGCAGTGCATCAGTGATATTCCTGGACAGAGCTTTGAAATCAATGTTCTGCTAACTTATTGCTTTAATAGTAATTTCAATTTCAATTAATTGTGTGCTGCCAAGCTATTCTGACTTATGATGACCCTCCCAAGAGTTCCCTAGGTTTACTCAGAAGTGATTTCCCAGTCCCTTGTTCTCATGGCACTCTATAACCACTGAGCAGGTTCCCCGAGGCTA